TTTCCATTCTCGTTTTCCTGCCAGGCCTGGCCCTCCCCGCCCGGAGGGCGTGTCCTCGAGGGGGGGTAATGTAGCGGTACTTACCCTTTCCAGGGGCCGGCCGGGGTCCTCTGTTCGAGCCGCGCGCGGTCCTGCTGCTGCACGAGCCGCGCGCGGCTCATCCGACGGCTGTGACTGGAAAGCGGTCACGTGTTCCACCTAACTCTAAGAGCGCGCCGCGGGTATCGGGCGCGCTCTTAAAGGGACAGTGGGTGCCTAAATTGGAAAAGGCATCCCATTGGTCCCTGTCATGCCACACTCCCCATACACTTACCTTTTGGGGGCGTGGATGTGACAGGGACCAATCAAATTAGATGTTTAGGTATTTATACTCACCTTCTTCCCTTTGTTCCTTGCCCTATCGTGGTTTCTGTATCAGTTCCCTTTAGCGCTTGTTGTGTTCAGTTGTGTTTCTCCGTATTGACCTTGGCTTTGTTTCTGACTACGTTTTCTCTTTATCCTTCTGTTCTGGTTGTCGGCTTGCTGTTTACTGTGTACCAGACCCCGGCTTGTCCTAGTTTACGCTGTCTCTCTGTGCCCTTGATTTCGGATCGTTCCTGACTCTGTCTCCTCTCATATACGTCGAGTCCGGCCATTCTAAGGTCCGGTAGACGTATCTCTCCTCTGTGTTGTCTTTTGTTTTGCTGAATCCTGCGTGTTGGGGTATATTCTCGTTACAGATATATCCCCAAAGAAAAACATGCATGCATTTTTTTTCCTGCATGTTTTCTTTTGGGTATATAAAAGTCTGCAGCCTTCTCTTTCCGCGGCACCCAGCTTCCGTACACACCTTTATTTTTATGTGGTGACGGCGGGCCCCAGAATAGAGCAGCGTGGTGCGTCAGTCTAGCCATGGCTACAGAGTTATCGGTGGGAGCTCTGTGCTTCCCGTCTGCCTGTCACATGGACATTGTGCCACTTTGTCACTTTTATAATTAGGGACCTCCTTGGCTGTCAATCAGTTAGTCTTCTTTAGTATATCTACTAAATTGTTAAAAATAAAATTTACTTTTTCAATGGGGAGTTCCTATAATAAACTCAATAGTGATTTTTTTTTACAGATTGACAGGGTGAATTTATTGCTCATTTTATAAAGGTATTCTAGTTAGAGGAGATTTAAATATGCTTCTGAATTTTGATATTCTCTAGACCAGGGATCGCCAAAATCAGGCCCTCCAGATGTTGCTAAACTACAACTCCCATGATTCTCTGGCTATGTATTCCATTCAAAGAATCATGGGAGTTATAGTTCAGCAACATCTGGAGGGCCGGAGTTTGGGGATCCCTGCTCTAGACTGTTCCTCCTCCGTTGAAGTCTTCATTCAGTCATGAAATGGTTGAAATATCTTCAGATCTGGACCATCCCTTGATGTTATGTGAAAGAATTACACGGCATGTATACCCGTATAACTCATTCAAGACATGTACATGGTTGAGCTGCAGAGGTTCTTACCCCCTCTCATTCACTTCTAGAAAAAGAATGAGAGCCACCCACACACTTGGAAGCTTTGATCCTGGTGGCAGCTTACATTCTACTGTAAGAATGTTTCTATTTTGTTTTTCAACTGATTGAGAAGCCAGTGGCATAGACATAAAGACTGCAATAAAGTGTCTATAGACAGGGGACACTTGTCCAAAAGGGCTCTTGTGGCAGCTCCCCATCAATATTTATAGGGAATAAAGTGGTGGTTGGCATTAGCAGAGATTTTTAGTAAATGTTGTTGTTTGGAGGAGCGGGTAAGCTGAACAATATTGGGAAAAAAAAACTAGATTAACATACTCCAGGCATTGCCACCAAAGTGTGTCATAATATATATTTATATATATGTAACGGAGCTCCCTGTACCCCTGGCTGGGTACCTCCGCCAAGGATCGCTTCCTAGCTGGAACAGGGGACAAACCACAGCACTTCTGCCCACAGTCGACGTGGCTTGACTGGGGTCCTGGAACCGCTCCCTCCTGGAACCGAATGAGGAACTCGCTCTAGCAACCCCCAGGCACTGGACACTCTGTCCTGTTAGTTCTAGTCCTTACAATGGCTTTCCCCATTGAATCTTCCACATTGGAACAGTGATTCACCCTTTCCCCTCCCAGTAACCAGAAGAAACATAGTACTGGGAGTACAAGCTGGAATGTTTTAATCTGACCGGATGGCCTGCTTTTATACATTTCTGAACACAGACAAGCACGCCCGTGGCACTCCCACACAAAACAGGATAATCACTCCCCTATGCCTGGGAGATAATTGAGTCAGGAACAGTACAAAACTCAATTATCTCCAGGCACAAGAAACACACATTTCACAGACAACCCAAAAGTACCTTTAAACAACATGAAAACCCCACTAAAGTTATATCCCCTGATACCCCCGATCTGGGTGACCAACATATCCAAAAATCACCTAGATCGGTTCAGGGGTTCAGGATTTACATGGAAGTCAAAATTTGACCAACCGCACTCGAGTCTCCTGCCCAAAATAGTTCCAGGGAAAAAGTGGTAGCAGTCGGTCAAGTTCGGTAGTTTAAAAGAGAACAAACTATCGAACAGAATCCATTGCCATACCGCGGAGCTTGTTCCCTTCATCCAGACAAATGATCCCACCAAACAGTGTTCTTCTAAGTTATATAAAACCAAACACAGACGATCATGGAAGTCTAGCGGTGTTCGGGAGTTTCAGGGTCTGTTTTCAGTTCCAGGAACTCGATGACCAAACACCGCTGCCTGCGTTCATGCGAACAAAATGGCAGCCACCACGTGTTTGTGCATACGAACAGCGGCCACCCATACGAACCATTAGAACACTGTGGTTAGGATTGTTACAATGTATCCATTAGGCTTAACAAGCTTCCAGGTGGTCCATAGTTCGTGCAGCGGTTCGTTTCCCAAACAGCATAGGGGAATCACACGAAACAAGCCAGTTAATCAGTCTTTCACAGGTTTCCCTGCATGGCCCATAGTCTGTGGGCAGGAGGCTGGTAAGCAGGCTTCTCCAGGAGCTCGTGGCAAACTCACGTGGGAAGGGGAGTTTGTCACAATATATATATATATATACACAATATATATATATATATATATACAGTTGCAAGAAAAAGTATGTGAACCCTTTGGAATGATATGGATTTCTGCACAAATTGGTCATAAAATGTGACCTGATCATTATCTAAGTCACAACAATAGACAATCACAGTCTGCTTAAACTAATAACACACAAAGAATGAAATGTTGCCATGTTTTTATTGAACACACCATGTAAACATTCACAGTGCAGGTGGGAAAAGTATGTGAATCCTTGGATTTAATAACTGGTTGAACCTCCTTTGGCAGCAATAACTTCAACCAAACGTTTCCTGTAGTTGCAGATCAGACGTGCACAACGGTCAGGAGTAATTCTTGACCATTCCTCTTTACAGAAATGTTTTAGTTCAGCAATATTCTTGGGATGTCTGGTGTGAATCGCTTTCTTGAGGTCATGCCACAGCATCTCAATCGGGTTGAGGTCAGGACGCTGACTGGGCCACTTCAGAAGGCGTATTTTCTTCTGTTTAAGCCATTCTGTTGTTGATTTACTTCTATGCTTTGGGTCATTGTCCTGTTGCAAGACCCATCTTCTGTTGAGCTTCAGCTGGAAGACAGATGGCCTCAAGTTCTCCTGCAAAATGTCTTGATAAACTTGGGAATTCATTTTTCCTTCGATGATAGCAGCAAAGCAGCCCCAAACCATGATGCCCCCACCACCATACTTCACAGTTGGGATGAGGTTTTGATGTTGGTGTGCTGTGCCTTTTTTTCGCCACACATAGTGTTGTGTGTTTCTTCCAAACAACTCAACTTTGGTTTCATCTGTCTACAGAATATTTTGCCAGGAGGGGCGGGGCCGGGCGGCCATGCCGACAGGCTGCAGGTCACTGGAGCTCCTGTGGAATCAAGCTAATTTGGGGGGAAATACCCACCTTATGCTGCATGAGAGCTCTGGAGGTTCGGGGAACGGAGTCCTGGATTGTCCCGGTGTAGCTGGTGCACCTGTTACCGGGTGACTCTAGGTCCTGGAGAGACATTCTGGGGCTTGAGACCAGAGGCCTACCCAGAAGGAGAGCAGGGCGGACGGCCGCTGCCTCGCATTCCAATCTGGCTACTATGATAACATAACTGGCGTCCTCCCGGTCTCGTTCACCCCCCCCTCTGGGCCGGCAGGGGTTATCCTGGCCCCCACCAGGCAAGATGTCATCAACACCCACAACTATAGGGCGACTAAATGCCGAAGGTAAACGGCTCCCACGAGGCCTCCTTAAAATGGCCGACGGCGGCTTAACAACTCCACCGGCCTAAACATGGAAAACCCCCTATGGCGCACGGAAGCAGACTGCTCCACCACAATACGCCTAACCAGCGCTCCCTATCAATGGGACCAGAGACCAACCAGGGGGGAGAACCCAGAGAAGGCATACCCAAGCATTGACCCTAATATAACGCAGCCCGCACCTGAACACAGCGGCTTAAGTGGCACTGCATTTACACCCACCAGACAACCGGCAGACCCGGCAACCACAATACCCTCTGGCAAGACTTTGGGACTCAGAGGACCTTCTTATAGGGACTATCCCCAAGCATGGGAATAAACTGCCTTCCAACACCTCCTATGCAATCAGAGCCGGAGGCGATCCCACAATGACTGGCACCTAAGGCACACACCACGGAACCTACCGACAGCCTCAAAAGCAGTTACTGCGGCTGCATTTTATAATTAAACATCCTGCACTGTCATTCATGTTATAATTACCGTTAAGAAATGCCAGTTTGTTTTTATGCCTAATGCTGAAGATGACATAGTATGCCCTGCTTTGCCTGGTGGTATATTACTTTACTTTTACACTTAATTTAGTTAAGCTTGCTACTTTATTATTTTCTAACATGTCAGTAAGTCAATCTGTATTTACGCCTGTACTTATAACCTTACCTGACACACAAGACTAAAGCTCATAAAAGTGTAACTTAGCATACAAACTACAACTTAACTTTTAAAAAATGTGCCGATATCTCCATGTCACTAATGTACAAATGCTGTGTTTATGTTTTCTAACTCTGCCATTGTGACAAAGTCAAATGTTCAGTAACTCTCAAGCAACGCTCACCCACTGTTTATATTTTCTCTTACAAAACTAAAAATGTGCTGTATATTCATATGCCACGTTATGTTTCAACTGTTCGTTACATTACTGCTTGTGACTGCTATTGTGGCTGAACAAGCCTATTATTATACCATGCACAACAATAAATAAAGAATTTAAAAAAAATATATATATATTTTGCCAGTACTGCTATGGAACATCCAGGTGGTCTTGTGCAAACTGTAAACGTGCAGCAATGTTTTGTTTGGACAGCAGTGGCTTCCTCTGTGGTATCCTCCCATGAAATCCATTCTTGTTTAGTGTTTTACGTATTGTAGATTCGCTAACAGGGATGTTAGCATTTGCCAGTGACTTTTGAAAGTCTTTAGCTGACACTCTAGGATTCTTCTTCACCTCATTGAGCATTCTGCACTGTGCTCTTGCAGTCATCTTTACAGGACAGCCACTCCTAGGGAGAGTAGCAGCAGTGCTGAACTTTCTCCATTTATAGACAATTTGTCTTACCGTGGACTGATGAATAGCAAGGCTTTTGGAGTTACTTTTATAACCCTTTCCAGCTTTATACAAGTCAACAATTCTTAATCGTAGGTCTTCTGAGAGCTCTTTTGTGCGAGGCATCATTCACATCAGGCAATGCTTCTTGTGAAAAGCAAACCCAGAACTGGTGTGTGTTTTTTATAGGGCAGGGCAGCTGTAACCAACACCTCCAATCTCATCTCATTGATTGGACTCCAGTTGGCTGACATCTCACTCCAATTAGCTCTTGGAGATGTCATTAGTCTAGGGGTTCACATACTTTTTCCACCTGCACTGTGAATGTTTACATGGTGTGTTCAATAAAAACATGGCAACATTTCATTCTTTGTGTGTTATTAGTTTAAGCAGACTGTGATTGTCTATTGTTGTGACTTAGATGATGATCAGATCACATTTTATGACCAATTTGTGCAGAAATCCATATCATTCCAAAGGGTTCACATACTTTTTCTTGCAACTATATATATATATATATATATATATATATATATATATATATATATATATATATATTTCTTTATTGTCTGGATACATTTCAATGAGCAACTACAAATGTAAAAACATAATTAAAATCTGTCCTGTTTGAACAGATTTAAGGAATTTTAGGGGTCTCTCATTCTGTCCTATTTGGCTCTAACTCTGTGTGGGCACCCTGCCTGACAGGTGCAGACCACTTTAACTGCCCCTCACATTTCCAGAGCTTCTCAATGACTCAGACTGTTGCAGCCAGAGCTCAGAGCCATTGACTGAAGGAGCACTGGATGTGATCTGTAGAGAGGTAGTGATTGATATTTTTATAACTATGCTCTATACTAAGCATCTCTACTACAGGGTGAGTAAACAGTGATGAAGGACTCCAAGCACCATACCTACTTCAATCAGGTTTTTCCCTAGTAGCTTGATTACATTTACATAATTACACCTAGCTGGTGTTTTTTTCATTTTGTATAAACATAATGTACTTTGAACATTTTTGCATGTGCCACACTGCACTATGAAGGAGCTGGTCTCTGTGGGCAGGGTAGACCAGCTCCTTCACAGATAATGGAACGGGGCAGCTATGCTGGCGCTTATCCTCCCTGCCAAATCTTGCAAGGAGATGCTTCTGCGCCTTGCACCTACTATGAATAGAAGGAAGGCACTCAACCATGCCAGGGCCCCATACACCTGTATGGGCTGTAGCCCCTGATGGAAGCCCTGGTTACCTATGTTCTACTGGTTTAAAACTGGTGGTTTATATTCTGTTGACCCATGCCATGAGGATGATCACCAACAGATTTTGGGTATAAAGAGTATATTGTTTATTTCCTTTAACCCTGAGCAGACCACTCATGGACATGGGCCTTTAGGGTCCTTTATGCAAGAGTCGGCTTACTGTCTGCCCTCAATTTCAGTTGCTCTTTGGTTGGATCTATGCCAAATTGAATTATTGTGGATACAGGGCTTAACATTTCGAGCCTTATGCTACCAGCCTAGTACACTGAAAGCTTGGAGGGCCCATGGCATACTTATCATCAATTGTAGTCTTTGTGTGCTGCAGGAGAGGGATCAGTTAACTGCGGTAAATAAAAAGAAAATGGCCTAAACTAATTTCATAATATTTGGGACTATGGGCTTAGAAGACCCTTATTAAGTCATTAGCTTGTTTTCTTCTCTGTTTATCTTTTCTACCTTGGCTTCTGTATCTGTCCCCAATTTCCAATGAGGTTGCCAGCTGCCACATCCACCATGTTCCCAATTACTTCCATGCTGCTGGTCAGCCTATGAAAAGAGATGCCTACAGTATGTAGAATTCATATGATGCAGCAAGGAAAAAGACTAATTATTTAAGGCAGGTTCTTCGGAATTCTTCAGCTGACTATTTTTTCTCCTGGAGAATAAGGATTCCAAATACCTTTTGACAGCCATTTTTTGTACCCCCTATAGCATGTTGACGTGATGTGTGGCTAGGAAATCAAGGTGGGTCTAGCAATCCTAGTGCCGATTATATTAAAATTTCCCCACCTTTAGTTAATGCAACTCTTTTATTATTTGGCAATGACTGTAAAAAAGCTGAATATTTTTTTTATAACATAAATCTCATGTTAATCAGTATATCAATTAATTAACCCCTCCAGAACACTAATGACATGTCAGGTGTCACAACAGACTTTGCTACGTGTGAAACGGAAAGTGTTAATCGCCACCGCAATCTGGAACCAACACAACAACCCTCTTTCATCCTTCTAATGGAACTTTATTAATTACGCACATCAGATTTTAATTTTTTCTTTTGTACATTTTTATTTTTTACAAACACATTGCACAGTGTTACTGTACGCCTACAATGCGATGGGTATTTATACAGCCCTCTAAGGGAGTAAAGGTGAGCTAATGAGTGGAGAAATCCAAAGGGATGATTGAAAACAAATTACTCTAAGGCAGTAAAAGTCTTTGCTACATTTGGGAGAACCAGAAAAATACAATTTGTGAATGTTCTGCTGCATGTTTGGTTCATAATGAGGAATCGTGGAGTGGATTTTGGTGCAAAAACAATGACAAACACAAGGAATCAGAGTCCATAATAAATCTAATTTGTGCCATGGAATTCAAAAATATGGTAGCCCCCACGTAAAAGTTGATCCTTTAGTTATCCATCAGGCTTGCAGTACATCTCTTATTAAATTGAGGTCCTCCAGGAGACAGTGAGAGGATAAGTGTTCAGGAGGTATGTAAACTTCTGTGTGAATCTTAAGTGCAACACCAGTCCCATTTCATTGCCTCTCTAAGACTTTTGCCATAGACACAATGTTGAGACAAAAACAATATTTTGTTTTTAAAAGCCTATGGCCACTATGTTTTTTTCAAGCCTTTCCACCCTTCTTTGGGTATCATGAAATAAGATAATATTGCAGATTCCCTAAAGAACACTTTAGAACAAAACCCCAAAATATAATGGAGAAGATAGGAGATGAAAACTTAGAAACAAATAGAGGAAATTGATACTTGACACACAGATAATTGCAGATTTCAAACAGATTAAAGACCATTACCACGGTTAGGTTGTGTAGGTAAGTATACATATAAAAGAGCAATCTCAGAGTATATGAACCCATTTACAAAGCGTTGGCATTGAATCTTTTGATGCCACGTGCCAAACAGATATATATATGAGAATGCCTGACCCACCATTAGGTACCTGGACACATAGTGTATTGTGCTCCCCTGCAGTATGTAGCCTTCATGTTCTGTAGGGATGTGATCAATTCACTAATCAACACCAAATGTTAACATTTTATATTCTGTATGACATAAAACTCCGCTGTGTACCTGATATTGCGGTGTTGTATCATTCTATATTTCTCAAAAAAAAAAAAAAGAGAATGTCGATTCACTAATCAAAACAAATTGTGTGAAGCGATGAAGTTTCATTCCTACAGCATATAAATTCTACATAGCAGGGCAGCATGTAGTTGTGGGAGGTGTACATGAAGTCAGAATTAACCGTATGGTCTTGAACTGGTGTTCAGATAGATTAGTGACATTGAATGGGGGTTAATTGACAACATGTGATTAAGAGCTTTCATCTCTCCTGACACTTCCTTATCCATCACATAGCGCTATTCTCATAACAGAAGGCTTTAGCGCCAATATATAAAGTGGGTCTGTCACACAGCGTATAAAAACGCTCTCTCTATGTTGTGTTAACCTTTTATTTTAACGTTTCTGCAGGTTACGATTTTTAATGGACTTTCATACTTGTATCCCCTTAAAGACACAACTTCTGGAATAAAAGGGAATCATGACGGAATATTTCCATCATGTGTCCTTAAGGGGGTTAAGGATTTGTAACATCCAAATGCGAGAAGAGGGATACCTTGCCAGCCATCATGTGTTTTAAGGAAGGCAGATTAAAATTTATTAATAAAAAAATTATGCATACACCGCTACAAATGTCAACACAACATATAGACAGGTTTTATGGTAATGGCTTACATATGGGTTCCTTGAAAGTGATAATTTAGAGTAGAGTTCTACAGCCCATTGCATTAATACATGAATAATATTTGTAACCGGTGTTGTTCACAGATTTTAGGTTTCAAATGGCTGTCCCCACAGTCCTAGTCTCCACTCCTCGAAAGCTTTGGCACTGTGTCCTTATATAGGTGTTCAGTCATTTTGTTCTCCCCATTTTAAATAGATTCTCAATTCTGTCTTCACGTGGAGGCGTTTAACCCTTTAAAAAGTAATGACTGTAGGCCCCTTCAACAAAGGTGGCTGAAAGGCTTTGCCTGCAACACCTTTTATGATGAAAATTTGCAGTTATCCACACAGGTTATAGTTCATTTCTATTGTACTTTAGGAAAGTCAAAATACCCTTAACTTAGTAATAGTCTCGGCAATTTATCCCAAGTGATTTTGTCTTTCTTTTTGTAAATCTGTTAAGTTTACATTATCATTGCCAAATCCTCTAATGAACTCAAGACCATACCTAGAAAACATCTCAATTCTATGACAGATCCTGGCAGTGGTCAATTAATAGGTCCTCTTGCTTACATATATAGGTTTTAAAGCACATTTACTGACTCACGGGATGAAGATTTGCAATTCATTTGTTCTGTTTCAGAGCGAGTGTTAAGAATATCAGCACAGAGTGCTTTGAAAGCCAGGTCCACAGCAGAGAATGGCAGTGAAGTCCACTTATTCTGAGTGAGGCCACGCCACACTATGCAGGCTAGCACACAAAGTTTACGGCAGTGCTCTCTGGTGCACATACGTGGTGTGAGGCGGTGACGTGAACGCTCAACAACTTCCTTTTATTTTAATCTCTGCCAGATTTCATTTTTGAATGCATTTCACTAGTGTGAAGATACTTATTTAAATCTTTGTGGAATCATTCCATGGGAGAGGCTACAAGACCTTCTCAAAGCTGGGTGACAGATAAGAATCTGTGTGCATCACAGAGAGAGAACATAACCCCATGTCTGCTTGATTCAGAGCTTGCAAACACAGTGCGATCACCTCTATTATTGGATAGGTGACCCAACAGGTAAAGTGCTGAATTGATCATTGAATAGAAATCCCAAAATACATTGCATCAACTGCTTCAGAGAAATATATGTCCTGGAGCAGATTTCACCATGTCTCTTAATTCACTGTTTCTTTTATAGTTGATCACATCCAAATATATATCAAATCAACAAATATTAAACCAAACATAATAAGGTTTTCTTGTGTGCCAAAAAAAAGAATAATAAAAATAGTCTCTCCAAGTCAATTGATGTTGGCTGTAGATGACCCTCTACAATTTTGATTTGTATTTTTTTTTTTTTTTTTAGATAGGTAAAAGGTTCTCTCTTTGGAGAGTTGCAGAGGGCATTGAAGTTTGATGTTGCAGGTGTGCTTTCTATAGTGCTGTGTCCATACTTTCTTCATTATAATTACTGCAATGTTCAAGGACTTTCCTGAAAAAAACAAACAGAAAATGGAATTAATTACTTCCTAAATTAAAGGGAGAGAAAAAGGCGTATGTTACTAGATAACCAAATGCCCTATATATTGTATATTGTAAAGCGCTACGGAGTCTGTTGGCGCTATATAAATGACAATAATGTACTGTTAGAATCACCATAACTGTTTGTCCTTTTTACCTATTGTACAGCACTGCGGGATATCTTGGTACATATACACATCTAGTGTAAAAATACATGGTAATGTTGGGAAGTAACTTTTGGTGACAAGTTCTCTACAATAGCTACTAGCTGTCCGTAATCTAATAATACCCCCAGAGTTGCAGGTTTTGGATTAGTTTTAGAAGAAAAGAAAATAACTTTAAAAAAATAAAAAAGGTTATAATCATCACTGGTATTTGCATTGCTTTTTTTAATCTTGTACATTTAAAAGTCACAGTGAGTCAATATTCCATTTCCACAAGCCCTATGGAACCCTATGGGAGTGACACTTATACAAATAAAGTGTCCCAGTCCTTTATAAAGTCCTCTATTTGCAGTCATCTCCAGTAACAAACTAACCCACTGTGACCAGCACTACCACACTGCTTTGCCTTCAATCAGTGCCTCAAATACACTTTAATGACGCCACACTTACCAGCCTATGAGCGCACCCGGAACTAGGCCACAACATGCAGAGTTCATGTGTACAGAGACAACAGCCAATGTCTGATTGGTCATGGATCAAGTCTTTTTTTCCAGTGTGTCAGTTGCTACATTTAAAGAACTATCCTGACTATATTGAAAACCAGCTGTCTGCAACTACATTTTACATTTCATTTTCCAGCCAGCTACAGTACCTGGCCATATCCTTTGTTTCTTGGTGGGATGAAGGCATGTTGACAAGATCTACCAGCAGAGGGAGCCCTCCTTCCTTGATCAGCAATGGACAGTATTTGTCTGCTGTAGTACAGTAAAGACACATCACGTTAGTAAGACGGATCCTGTTTCTTTAGGCAAAATTACTATATATTTTTTTCTTTTTACAAAATACAAGAAAATGCTCCAGTGCCAGAAACTGGAAATACCACCAAAGCAGATTACCAGTTTAAAAATGACAAGACTTTATTGCTCCATGTTGAAAACTATACAGTGGCAGTAATGTAACACATAACTAGAAATGTAATAAGCACACTCACAGATTGTAAATAGTAGGTCTATGTCGTTTCTGGCCCTGGAGCATTTTTATTGTGTAAATCAATGTTTATTGAGTTTCCAGGTTAGATACAAAGGCAGGTTACATGTAGTTACTTGTGTAAAACATACTCCTACCAAATTGTCGCTATATATAACCAACAACCCTATAAACCATTAGTGCACCAAATTAGTGAACTGTGTCTTTCTATAAAAATCTCCCCCACACATTCAGCTCTATCTGTATAGTAGTGATGGTACAATTAGGTTCTCATGTCAGCATGGCTTGGAATTCAACTGTACCAATGGATAGCAGCCAGTGGGTCTAAATAGGACTGCTGGCGTTCCTCTGCACTAAGGACAAGCTCCTCAATGGAGCAAAGGTCTTCCACGCATTGGAACCATAAAGAGGTGGTGGGACCTTTTCTTGCCAGAACAGGGGGAGAAAAGACAGGCCCTGGAGCATTTTATCAGAAGTTCTGTGTCGGCATGTTTGGTAGGACATTTGTTATGGATCTTCTTCTCTATGGTGTATGCACCTGGATTAACTTGTGATTTAACACTCTACTGTGTTTCTTTATAGAGACACTAAATGCCTAAGATAAAGAAACTCATCAAACACTGTACTTTGATAGGCCTGACCAATTCCTACCTATTCCAACAAGGAATAGTGAGATGTTACAACGGAATCTGTAACATCAATGCTCACTCCATTCATATGTTGTTAAACATTGGCATTCCAGCTGTTGTGGACTACAGTTTCAATGGTCCTCTGCAGCAAAACTGACAGACCATCATGGAAACTGTTCACAAAGGTTGGATTGCAAAAAGGTTAGTACTGTACCGCTTGCAAAGCATCCCTGGAAACAGCCTCCCAAAAGCTGTCATGGCAAAATGTAGACATTGTCAGTCTAGTACGTGACTGTAACATCTCCTGGTTGTGATACTTACGATATACAGAGACAAGGTTATAAAGTGCCCAGGTTGCCCAGTGTTGGCTGATTGGAGATACGTTTTGGGGGAGGAGCCGAAGAATGGGCTCAAATGATCTGCAGGAAAAAAAATAGATTCTAGCAATTGCTAACATACCAGATTTGCGAAAACGACAAATAAAAATAGCCCATCAAAGGGACTCTTTAATGAATTTATGACAGAGACCTGCTTTACAGGGCTCTTATTTTATCTGTACAATGGCATCAACAAATGTATGGACACAGATAGAAATATGTTATATTAAAAGCTTGCAATGACACTTCCTCTGTTGAGCTGCTCAACACTCCTGCGTATGACTATGCTTTCATCTGCACATTTTGCAAGCATATGTATAGAATTAAATCTTAATCAGTGATTTTTTTTTTTATGTGACCTCCCTGGGTTTCGCGGTTATGCAGACAGTGCTGTGAACACTAAGAAATTAGGAATACAACTTACATTTAGTTTAGTGTGTAAACTCTAGATGAGTATATCTTTTAATTTATACATTTTATGGTTGTTTTGCCATCAGAGTCTATATATATATATTATCCATATCTACCTGAATATGAGCTTATAATCAACATAAATTTGGAGGACAGGTTTACTATATGTATACATCTTTCAACCTATACAGTTTTTGAAGATTTTTCTAAAACAGTATATAGATTAAATCTGAAAAATATCATCATGTGTCTTATGGATGATACAGAATATAGAATACACAAAGTCTGCGTGATGGCCTAACTTTCTCAAAAACATTTCCATTAATTTTATTGAGGGAGAAAAACTACAAACTAAAGCTGGTCAATGAAACAAACATTGGTCAGATCACCTCACCAGCTCGTGTCCCTGGGCAAGACATCTAACCTCCATTAAATCTTCATAGACAAAGCTTTGAGTAGGACCATCTTCACTTCTAAATCTCCCCTTTCAAAATTGTAAAGCGCTACCGAATATGTTGGTGCTATGCAAATGCTAATAATAATAATGACAATAAAGATGTTTTGATATCTTTGGGACGGACACAGCTGCCAACATCTACCTCCCCTCTATTAGAATGTTGAGCGACTGAAGAGTGTAGCTCTCGGCTATATGGAGAGTGCAGTACACATTTAATATAATAACCTTCACTGAACTTGTATAGCAAAAAGTCAAAGCAAGCACTGATGCGTGCTTGTGTGTGTGTGTGTAAAAGGTAGAGTCATTCTGATGACCAATCACAAAGAACAATCCTGTAAACAAGGACACAAGAACAATAGAGGAGGAGTTGATGTTGAAACATGTGCCCTTTCCACCAAGTTTCTTACTGTCATGTTTTTATAGGGCTCCATATTTAAACATGTAATTAAATTACGAAAGAATGCATACTTGATTTATATTTTTAGCATCCCTTGCTTGTTTTGTACATAGCACAGAAATGTGGATGTGTGCTTAAATGGCACTAGCTGCGGTTAAGTTAAAAATTAAAAGAAAATGGCAACAGGACCACATTTTATATAGACAGAATGTTGCTATTTTCACCTGTAGTTAATGTTTCTTCTGGAACTGATGTCCCAGCTCCGGATGGCTTTCCACATTCGTTCTTCCACCTCCTGGCGGGTTGGCTCTCCAATGAACCACGCTTGGGGACCATCGAACATGATATGTGACAGGACACCACAAGCATTATAAGACACCTCAATGCCATCTGCTTTACTCTCCAAGAGGTTACTGCCAAGAGAAACACAAGAAGGTCTCTTCAGTACAATAAAACAATAAGAATGTTTACTAATAATGTGCAAAACCTAAGGGAAATAAAAGTTGGAAAACAATATCTTCAGCCAAGTTGCGTTTGCGATTTTTCCTTAATATTTTTTTTTTGTTTAGCTATTTCAGCCTACAATTTGTAATGCAAAGTTGTCAAATCACCAGATGCAATAAATGACAAGTCCCAATAAACATTACGTCTGCATCATTAAAACGTCAAATAGCAAGTTTGCTGTTAAGGCTGTGAACCTACCTGAACACACTGATGAATTGTGATGTCATTAGCTGTGGACGAAGTTCACGCACTTCAGCCACATTTCCCAGCAACCCCAGCATGTTGCGGTGAAGTTCTTGCTTCTCAGGAAACTCCTAGAATTGAAAAGTAGACAGATGATGCATTTGAATTCAGATGTTTAGGTATAAAGCACCAATATTATCAACAGGGTGGGTATGATGGGCTGACAATATAGAAGCTTCTAGTAATACAGTTTTTTCCCCCTCTGGAAAGGCTGTTTTGGCTCAGTAAATTCAAGCATTTTCTTTCTTCTAGATGGAAATTAACCATACTTAAACCACAGTTCACTGTGGTGGTTATGGTGTTATGAGTCTATGTGCTGGTTTTCTGAAAAACAACTTTCAGACTTCCACTGCTCTTTGATGCATAGCACTATAACCACTACATGGACTGTATGGTCCCAACATTGACTCAATATATCCAAGAGTTTAAAAGACTGAATCCAGAGTTGGGGCTTGGCAGCCCTGGAATTTGACGTGTTACACAGACAAATTGCTAAACTATGTCTTGAAGTATATATTATTTTTCAGATGACCAAAATTGCTTATAATTGGTCAGCAATTACCGTCAAATTTGAATACAGTCTTTAAGGAGTACACTTTTTTGTGTGCCAATTTTGACGGTATTACCCACATTTTGCAATTAGCAAACTGCTACCCAAAGGGTACATTGCCATAAAATATGTTTGGATAGACCACTCACTTTTAGGCACTCGAGAAATAGCTTCATGCCACTGTAGTTGAGGAACATCTCGCAATTATCTGGGGTCTCGTCTGTAATGTTCCACAAAGCACTCCAAGAAAACTCCATAACCTGGTCACACTACCGGAAGGAAAAAGAGACAGAGAAGATATGGACTCCAGTCATTTGTGAACTGACAAAAGGATCCATTGCCACAGATTTCTAAATAGAATCAGTAAACACAACCCAGAAAGAGTTCATTTAGAAAAGAAAACGGATAGATACATTACAGACTGAGCCTACATTTTGTATGTAGGTGAAAAAATATTGTTACCATGAAATGTAAACTGTGATTAAACATTAGAATACGCACCATTTTATCCTGTAGCTTCTTCTGTATCAGTTTCAGCATAGTCTAAGGAAGAGAAGGAATAAGCAAAATTGATTTACTCAGTAGTTTGTTGTTAAGGCAGACCTCACTCACTAAAGGGGACACGCAGTTGTGGATTTATCACCCATTTAAGTTGACTGTTTTTCATCTGCTGTGAATCCTGATCCCTCAACAGCGATGCTCTTGCACTGGTTGCCATTGTCAGTGACGCTGTCTCAAATGCAATTTCCCCTTTATCTACGCTTACCATGACAAAACCCATCTTGCCGACAGCCTCCTTGTGATCATTGTCCACCTGGCAGACGAGGGCATTGCAGAGATGGACAGCAATGCGTTGAATGGACTCATCTTGCCGGGTTGGTATGAGGATGTTTAGCAGTAACTCATTAACCCGTTGATACTGGAACTCCAGCTCTTCTGGGATGTTGAAGTTACAAAGTGTGAGACAGCAGTTTCTTTGCACCTAAAGAGAAAGATGGCTTACTTTGGTCATCAGAGCATGTAGTTTGAAAAGCAGTAGGAAAACTAGAGATGTACAAATGCTTACTGTCACTTCCTGGTAAGACTCCATGCCGTTTAGCACCACTTGGATGACCTGCCGCCTGAGTCGAATGCTTTGCTCAGCTCGATACTCAGAATTGGTCAGGTAGAATAGTGCGGCACTTCCAGTCACCTGAATAGTTTTGTCGTATTTATGACACTTCAGAGCAGCAATAACCAGCTGGAGAGAGAGAGAGAGAGAGAGAGAAACATAGGCGAGATTGTAGAAATTAATCTTGTTCATCTTTACAATGAAACGAAGTTCTCGATCTGTCAATATGATGATTAACTTTTTACTGTCTGTGATACGGAGATTAAATTAAAACTCCATCCTTATTTTTGTTGGTACCTTTTTAGCAAGCTAAAAACACCCATCTTAATTCCGTGCATTTTGCACAAATTACAGCAAAGGTTCTCCTACCTGTAGAGCTCGCAGTGGCTGGTTGCACCTTTCTATACGAGCAATGTCAAAGAGGAGGTTGATGGCACGAGACGTTATCTCAGGACGATGTTCTGTGTATGCCTCGATGGCATTTAGCACCTGCTCCTCATTCTTATCCCCGCTCACCTATGAAAAACAGAGCAAAAAGTTAGGCGTCAGTGTTTCTCTAAGTGGCTTTTGAAAATGCTGTCCTATATTTTCTAAACATTCTGCTTTCATTTGGTATCGCCATAAAGCGTCATAGGTGCATGTTGAATGTTGTCCCATATTAATAGTGTAGAAATCAAGCGAGTAATTACCTTGTAGGATGGGATATGTGTCAAACTGCAGAGGGAGGTCTCAAAGAGACCAAGGAATTGCAGAGGTCTTTTCAAAGCTCGAAAAGGAATGATGCTGCTCTTAGAGGGTTCAATACTAAAAGTGAAAAAAAAAAAAATTATATTCAAGGGTTATGCAAACTCAAAAGTTAATTACAGATGATAAATCGCAAGAAATATAAAAAAATATCTTGCCTCAAGGCTCAAATATTGCTGCATGTTAAAAATAAAAAAATACAATTTTTTTTTTTACTTTGACAGGTATCTACATCACTCAGGAAGATCCTTATTCCAAGCAGCTACAGCTTAATGGACATGACCAGACAGCCAGTATTTAAAGGAACACTATAGTCACCGAAACAACTTTAGCTTAATGAAGCAGTTTGTGTGTATAGGCCATGCCTCTGCAGTTTCACAGCTCAATTCTCTGCCATTTAGGAATCAAATCTGTTTTTTTTTTTTCTGTTTACGTAGCCCTAGCCACACCTTCCCAGGCTGTGACTGACACAGCCTGAATGGAAAAAAAATGGTTTCATTTTCAGTCAGATCTAACTTAGTTTTGAAGTTTATATCTCCTGCTCTATAAATTGAATTTTAATTACATACAGAAGGCTCCTGCAGAGTCTAACAGGCTATTAACAGAGCAGGAGAGAAGACATTTTTAAAGTAAACATAATTTGCAATAAAGGAAGTATAAACATTACATGACTCATTAGAGGAAATGTTTAGGAAGGCTCTGTAAGTCACATGCTGGGAGGTGTAGCTAGGGCTGCACAAACAAAGTGATGTAACTCCTAAATGGCAGAGAATTGAACAGTGATACTGCAGGGGTATGATCTATATACCAAAACTGCTTCATTAAGCTAAAGTTGTTTTTGTCACTATGGTGTCCCTTTAATCAATATCTTAATCTTGTTTTGCAATTTTCCAAATGTGCATGAAACAAAGCAGCCCCTACTTTGTCTCACGTGTGTCTTTTGATTGTGCTAGGATTTTACTAACATATTTCAATGGTATACATTGCTTAAAGCTAGAAGCTCAATATCCTGTCACACAAAAAGCTTTCCTATGGTTCACGGGTGTGACAAATTATCATTGCTAAATATTAAAGGCCTATCTACAACCTGCAGAATACTATTTTCAGTATACATCATTGTTTTCCCTAGGTATGCTAATACCATGACCTCTCCTTTCCCCCTTAATCTTACCTGGGAGGACCGAGTTCGTCATCCATCTTGGAAATTGCACAGTTTTCCAACATCAGGTGACCAGAGATATCCAATGAGACAAGATCTTCCAGGTTCTGCACAAAAAGGCTTAGCACTTTCCGAGTCAGTTTGAACTTGTAATAACTGGACAGCCTGTCACGTGAGATGTCAAGGTGTCTGTATGTCCAAGAGAAAGAATGACAATGGAATGAGTGACCTAATAGCAGCAATGTAGCGTTTAATCCATTTAGAAACCTAGAAATGTACCAGTATTTTGTTCCGCATAGTACAGATCACACATGGTAGAAATAAAATGCAAATGTACTGTGCAGATTATCCATTCTCTCTTTAATTAATCAGGTTTTGAGTATTGTGAATCAGGGGATATTTGATATATTGTATGAAAGGAGAACACAGAATTTTGAAAAACTGTCTGGTAACTCTTAAGTCACATGTGACTTAGGGATATATGGGTCACAGTGACGGCACTGGGATATCCCATGGTAGTTAAACAATGTGTACTGTTTGCATTTGTACAAAGGTCGGCAATTCAGTCTATCATAACAGTTTCATACCTAGATAAAGGTTGTTTAAATGTTCCAGTTATATGAATGCATTAGAGGGCCTTTATAGGCTGTGTTTAAACAAGCGTCCGGAATCCACTTTACTTAAGGTGTGCGTTTAGGTAGTATGGCAGGAGGGTGTGATATTTTATCGGTAAGGGTGGATGCCGATTTGAGACAGCAGAGAAAACTTTCTGGGGACACAGCTAAAAGAGACAACTCATTCCCTTACAGTCTTTGGTGACCAGCCCAAAAGGTCTTTTGATCTACTCTAACCTGCAGAGAGCCAAATGCATGGCACCAGATCTCAGTTCTGTGTCACCATGATGCCATGACATAGTGGATTTGTCAAGCCATCATTACATAGAAACACACTTAATATAATAAAGGCTCTTGGCAGGTTAGCTAATTTACATAACAATGTGCCTTTTTACTATTCCCCTTCCACCAAGCCAATAACTTATCTTCCGGTCTCCCTAATTCTCGCCTCTTCCATGGTAATTCTGGCCAATAAACCCCCTATATAAACCAGTCCCTTCTATTCACAGCTGCTTTTATATCAGTCCCCTCTATGACCCTACTACACCAGCAATTCTTATCATTGCTGCCCTCCCCTTTATTCCAGACTCTATTCTCTACTGTTTATTCCTGTGCTCTCCTATCTGTCTTCTACAATCTCCATTCCCTGTATTTTAGTTTGACATTATACTTTCATTTTATAACTCTCACTCTACAATCTCATTACACCAGTCCCAATAATAATCAATACTCCTTTTATGCAAGTCTTAATCAATACTCCATTTATGTCAGTCATAATCAACCTTTATGTCAGTCCTAATCAATGTTCCTTTTATGCTAGCACTGATCTATCATTATATGTGTGATAGCCATCGTTTGATACTGCAAATGATTAATTTTTAGAGATTAACTATCACTGCTTCATGCCAGGTAGGTTTTTGATACTTGTCTGTAGGCCAGTGGATGTCTCGTTCTCCCATGAAGTCTGCAGGCCAGGCTATGGCTAAATATGACATCTCAGATGCAAAAGATACGTGTCATCACTACAGAGGTCAAAAACATGACTTATTGTCCCTCATGCTGAGCTGATGCCATTCAATTAAAATTTAAATTAAAGTGTATCAACAGGCCAGGAATCCCATAGTAGTCCACTGATTAAAATATTTACAAAGATATAATTATATTAGTCACTTTGTTTGTAGAAAGACAATTGCTGAGCCTACAGCACACTGAAGAATATACAGGTTGAGGATTGGCATTTAGCAAAACACCATTATGATTAACTTCTAAATATATGGCACACTACTCACTCTAAACCAACTCTGTTACTCCTTCCCCATTCCTCCCAAATGAGTATTTTATAAAGATAAAAACCTAATGAAACTCCCACACTGAGCGTGTTAAAATTTACAACTCAGTCAAAGGATATCATAAGACAAAGTAGGAACTTATGTATTTTTCCTATGCTTGACAAGAAGGCTGAATTAAAGCAACCAAGCTCTGTCAAGGTTGAGGGCGAAAAGATGGTCTATGGAGGCTCCCATCATAATTGTACTCTCACACATTATTATTGGCATGTATATAGTGACACCAGATTAATATATAACATTATTAAAGGGACTTTAACAACAAATGAAACAAACTATTACAAATTTTGACAAGAATAATAGGTTAATGAGGACACTGCTTAAAGGACCACTCTAGGCACCCAGACCACTTCAGCTTAATGAGGTGGTCTGGGTGCCTGGTCCAGCTAGGGTTAACCCATTTTTTCAAA